TTGTTTTTCTAATTGAATGTTTTGATTATGTAAACACAAATTAAAATAATGTCTGTGGAATGTAAAATGTTTGTTCTGCATCTCCAAAGATCTATAAGCAGTTTCTAAGGACTGGAAACCAAATTGCTCAGTGGATTGATAGAAATATAATTAATTTGCAACAAAATAGCAAAAATGTGTAGGTTTATGCATGATGAACTTTGTCTGATCGATTACCTGCAAAATTGATTGTCCAATGTCCGATTTATCGTATTTGAGTTGTTTTGTTTAGGTGCAGATATTTTGCAGCTTTCTGACTTCCCATGCCTCGCACCAAAAATGGAAAAGCAGCTCTAACATCCATCATTTTTAGTCCACATGATGCTCAGAGATGAAAAATAATTAATTCAACAGTTACTGTAGCAGACAATCTCATACACTCTGATTGCCCCGGGCTATCTTTCTTGGCTCTTAAATTTTATGAAGATGGTCTTCATTATGAATTTTGATTGTGTTTCTCTTATAAATCAAAACGAAAAGCATTGTAAAATAAAAAAAAGGGAAAAAAAAAAGAATTATGGCTATCCAACCCCAAACCCTGTTGATTAAACTGGGTTTAATAATCGTTACAATAAAACAAAAAAAATATATTTTTCTCTGGTTTTATCTGAATCAAATGTTTAATTTTTATGAAAACATCCTTAGGAGATTACTAAAATGATAAGAAATTAGCTAAAGAAAGAAACTATTGGTGTCTTTCTGTAGGTGATTGTTTCTACAGATATTGTATTAAAAAACTTCTTAGTTGCATTTATATATAAATGAACTTCAGGTTTGGCTCTTTTTGCGCTAATCTTATTTTGGATATCCTAAAGAGCCACATGTGACTTGGAGCTGCAGGTTGTTCTACCATTGTCCGAAGGAAAGGGTCCACTTTGTGTTTATTAATTGTTTTTTCATTAGAACCATTTTTTATGCAAATTTAGGACCTGGCATATATGTGCTGGCATATGGATAAATCCATAATGGTTCCACATACACATGTTGACTGGGTACCTCCATACCAGGGCCCTTTTCTGTCTGGTCTAGTCATTTAGTGGGACGGTGTTAGGGTGTCAAGTTCTCAAAACCTACCCTTTAAGATTTCATGAATCCCTTTCCCAAATTAATTTAATCAAATGATAGCTAATTATGAGCCTCTGCAGAGTAAAATGACAACTGTTGAGAGAATCCAGTCAATGAAATGCAGGTGTTTGAGAGAAGAAAGGCATTCAAAAGTTGTAGGATGGTAGATCTCAAGGATTTTGGCCACCCTTCTCTGTTATTTGCAGTTGTAACAGAAGGAAAGAACTGGTTACCACAGTTGAAATTTGCCTAAAGATTATGCCCATATTTCCCAGTTGTTTAGGATTGAATTGTGTTCCTTATTTAAGGCTTTCGGTTTCTTCAGTCTCTGCTAAAATGAAGTCACATTTTTCTGTTTTCTATTGAACCAAATTATGTTTTACAATCTCTTTAAAAAAACATTAAAAAAATGCTTAGACTGGACTGGTCCATCCATGACAAGATCCAAAACTGATTACAAACAAGCTGTGATTTATAAAACCATTACCAACAATAACTAAAACAATACAGAAGTGGGGGCAAGTGTGTTTAGATGTGCATTATTTATGCAAGAACCACCTGCGGCTTGATGTTTGTTGTGTGCTCAGGTGGTTTTATACTGTTGAAAACAAAAGTCATTGATTAAATTTGTTCCTAAATAGTGACAAATTGGAATTTCTTTTCTCAGTAAAGAAAATGTGGAGCACCAAATAGAGTCAGGAGCAGTGGGGGTGGTTAATAGCTACTTGGATGTTAATCTCAGAGGTAATAGTGTTTCTCAGCAGAATTGTGAATTCTAATATGTGTCAATTTGTAAAAGGTTGGGACAGCCATGTTCACCAAAGCCTGGTCACCGTCTCCAGGGGTCTTGCCCGTGCTCCCACTCCCTGTCCGTTTGCAACAATAGCTGCCACTGTAACACGGTGCTTTTAATTTGCAATAACATGTGACAATGGTAGATTAATGGCTCTTATGACACCTGTGTCCCTGAAGCTCTTCTTGCAGAGACCCAGTGTACATAACGTGTGTCACACTACATTATCTCTACATCCCTCCTGTAATGGGGTGGGGGAGCCTTTTTTAAGGACACTACTGACTTAGAAACTTAGGAGCTGCCTGCCTGCTTGGCAGAGAGCCACAGCCACAGCCTAAAACAAATATTCCAAGCTGCACAGACAATCCATTTCATTAGAGCTTGTGTTCCACTCCCCTCCCCATTCCCTCTGTACGTTTTCTTTTTTTTTTGTTCGGGTTTCCATTCTTTGATAATGACTGCTTGTGCCATAATAATCATGAGGCTTACCAACTTAAATTGGGCTCAGGGAAGCTACTGCACTGTGAGGAAATTTAATCCAAGCATTAACTCAGTATAGACTACAGCCTACTGAGCGAAGCAAAATATGTCTAAATAGCAAACAAGCCACCGTGGAAAACATGACAAAATCAACAAGCAAGCACTGCAGTAGAATGGCACTTTTTTTCTCTTACCACTTCGTTTCAGGATTTCCCAAATGCAGCTGCTACTTGCAGGATATACACTCATAAACATAAAATAAAACCAACTTGCAATCTAATGAGGCTCATTTGCCAAATTGAAAGTACTTTTTGAAAGTTATTAAATATATTTTTGATTAAGTCAACATCTTAAATGTTTTCTTTTATGAGTCAGATGCAATATTCTAATTTAAGATGTCATATTTCCCTTGGCTGCAAATCGAAAAATCATCATAATTAAGAGAAATAAAGGCTTTACAATGACATCCTGTAAGTAATTTATCAGTATAAGAGGTTTTGTTGAGAAGATCTAATTTCAGAAATAAGATAATTTTGCTGTGCTTCTCAATAACCATGTGAAGCTGCACATTATTTGATATATGAAAGTTAAAGCAAATGTACCAAAACAATATACCATACGGATTAAAGGAAATGTTTTCATCCTTTTCTGGAAATGTGAATATCAAAATTTGAATTTAGAAAGTCAAATATAGGAAGAAGGTCTATGAATATCAATAGAATGTATATATATATTTATTTAAGAGCTGTAGAAGAAAATAAGCTTACTAGTAGCCATCAAAAGTTTTTTCCTAATTAAACTTAAAAAAATATTTAAGTGAATAACTATTGTTTGATTTTATAAGAACGTAAAAATGGTCAGTGCAAGTTGTTATGTTAAATAGATGCATTATATTGTAGATACACATTAAGCAAATGTAAAAAAAACAACAAAGGAAAATACTAAATGTTCTTTTAAAAAAATTACTCAAGAAATTATTTTTATCACAGTAGAAACCAAAAACACATTTTTTTCTCCCTCTTTTTGTTGAGGTGCTCTTTGAGGGAGAGCAAGAGGATGACTGTGTCAACAGGGTAGCACATTCTGTAATATATTATTTTTACAAACTGTGGCCCAAGGCAAGACATAGGGTCTGCAACCGTGTGCGCATCTCAGTATGTTTGTGTGTATGATCTAAAGTTTATGTCCAGAAAAGATAAAGCATCTACAAACCTGTGATTCCAGGTAGATGCAGACCAGCTGCACATAGAAGTATAGTGTATATATATATATATATATATATATATATATATATATATATATATATATATATATATATATATATATATATATATATATATATATATATATATATATATATATATATATATATATATATACCACTCTCAGTGCAAGTCCTGCTCTGACACAAACACGGACCCTTGCATCCACCCACAGAACAGCTTTCTTCTATTTCACAGTAACGCTGGCCGAGCACCTAAATCATGGAGATGGCAACACATCAAGAGAGTCATTTGAGGCGGAATAGCTGTAGAAACATGGCGCTGTCAGCTGGAAGACCTCCACACAAAAGAGCCCTGCCTTTTTCCCCTCACACATTACCGCTTATTCCCCTTATGCCCTTTAATACCTCTTTGCCCTTCAGTAGCAATCTGCATAAAAATGCCTGCATTTCATCATTCAGTGACTAGACATTACACCCCAGCTAATACGAGAGGGTCCTCGAAACGACTGAAAATGAACCTCCTGAAAACACCAGACGTTTGCATTATGCCCCTGCGATTGCATCTCTTACAGGGAAAAGACTTGATTATGTCATTTGCCATGTCCACGTCATGCTGGTTTTTATATCTTTGCCAGGAAATCTACCTCTGACAGGTCATTAGTCATCCCTCCCCTCCCTGCACGCACATAAAACATCAATTCCACTCAATATCCCACAAACCTCTACTCCCCCCCAACAAACGGAGAACAAAGAAAGACGCTATGTAAACTGCCGTCGAGCTCTGATTAGCTCTCATTCCAGAGAACCACAGAAATAAGGCACTCATTCCCCACCCTGTTTGAGATAACTGCTCCGTACCCATGCATGCCTTCTAACTCGGCTGCATCTGTTTAGCTATTCTCATCAGCTTCTTATGTAGTGACATTAGGGAGGCCTATTGCTTACAGAACCAATAATCTATATTGCCTCAGGCCTCCTGATACCCACTAGCCCGGCAGAAGTGAAGCTACTTTTGGTTGTTGGCAGCTGGTGGTGGAGGGGTGTTGAGAAGCCAACCTAAGAGCTACAGCAGCTTTTTTGACTGACCTGGGTGGTTGGCTACATCATCTTGACATGTAATTATCTAAAGCCCTTTAATCACTTCCATAAAGATTAATTGCAGGAGACAACAGCGGAGGTCGTGTCTTCAAATCAAAAGACTCGTTGGCAGGTTGACACAGCGGTGTAACAGAGTCCATACTCAGGTGTTTTATAGGGGTCATCGACTGGAACTGAGGCAGGCTTTAATGCAAGCTCAGCAAATTGGACTTTCTTGGAAAGAGCAGTTCAAAATGCAAAACTTTCTTTTATCTTTACAGATATTATCTATTAAGTAAATGTTAAAGATACACTTCTTACCGTCATCTCTTTTCCTCTTCTCTCCATTGGATCGAGGAATACCCAAAATCCCATTAATGGAATAGGATCCCGCAGGGTCATTGGAGGCGCTACTTACAGGTGGGGAGGATGTGTTTGGTACTATGGAAAGAGGAAAAAGAGAGTCTATTGATTATGTGACTATTATGTGTTGAACATTTGAATGTTAACAGCTGTGGCAATTAAGATAAAGCCATCAGTAATTCATGCAAGTTATATGGCTGAAAAGATTAGGATAAGGTTTATTTTTGTTTAATACTAACCATTGAGTTTACAAATCAGTAACTGACAATATGGCATTATAATGTCTAGTTAAATTTGGGTCCAGAAACGCCACACCAACACTAAGCATTTAAAACATCATAAAAGGAGACAACAAAACGGAGCTTTACATTTTAAATAGACTGTGTTCGTTAAAATATAACATTCTCAAAGTAAACATAACCAGTTCCTTTCTGCATGCAACTATTTGGAAAAGTTATTTTTTTGTTCTTTAAAATGTTATCAAAATGTCTACCTGATCTAATATTATGACATGGCTATAATCTTTCTTATTTACATGTACATTTTCATTAGTATGCAGTATCACCATTTTACTTAAGAATCAAAATCTATAGGATTTTTATGCTATTTTTTGGTACAAATGCAGTGAAATGTAATTAACTTTTTCCCCCTAACCTCCCTCAGTAAGTTGTTCAAGAGATGTTCCTACACCAAAGAAATGCAGAGATAATTAATAGATTATTTTATTTATGGCATGCTACTTTTTTAGAGTTTGATTGATTATGATTCTTGCAAGTAGATCCTATCACATTCTACAACACCTGGGAATTTGGTTTCATGTACTTTGTTTGTTAAAATTATTTTTTTAGATACAAAAATGCATTTTGGTTCTATTCGAGTTAAGGCTAAAAAACACTTCTGCTAAGATAAATTTTGAGGCTTATTATTTTAAAGTTACTGTAAATTCTAAAAATTAAAACTAATTTTTTTTCATCAGCAAATAAAATAATTTAAAGTGATTCATTAATAATTAATAATTTAAAATTTAATTTCAAGTACATCATTAATGTACATTTCAATTATGTTTATTTATATAGGTGCAATTCAAGGCCCTTTACAGTACAATTCAACCAGATCATACAGTCAAACTGATTCAAAGTTTTCTATCTAACAAAAACCAGTTGATTGCATCGACTCATTGACTCAAAGTCAATCCCTCACACCAAGCATGCTTGTAGGGACAGTGGAGAGGAAAAACTCCCTTAATGGAAGAATCCCCTTTACCAGAACCCTCTGGTACACCCAACATAGTGTATTTTCAGGATCAAACACATTCATTTTTACAAAATGTTTAGATAGTTGAGTAGCTCAATATCCTGTTAAAAATAGCCAGAAACCTCTAGATACAAGAAAATTCTTATCAAAACTTGTTCGGAATTTAAGTATATTTTGGTTAATATTTCTGTATTGTTGTTGAGATCCAATAATGTTAATGTCGGCTCCTACCTTGTACAATTTTTCACCAACTTAAAGAAAGACGACCAGTACTGTATAAGGACATTATTTTTTTCCCCCACCGATTATACCAGATATTATTGTTTCAAATGGAAATTTAATATGTACGTTTATTCTTTACAAATTATCTCCTTAAACAATATTTTACAATATGCATTAACAGTCCACTCGGTTTTATCAGAAACTTTATATGATGGAAATTTGTTTACCTATTGTATGGCCTGGTGCTGAAAGTGATGAGCCATCAGGAGAGGGATGGAAAGGCTGCTGAACCTTGGTTCTGATGATCCTGGGGAACAAAGAAAAATGCCGATGTCAGGAGTGATAACTCTTTTCTTCAATTAAATTTGCCTTAGTCTTAACAGAGATAGCCAAAAATACAAAAAAAATAAAACTTTTTAGAAAATGTTTAAATAAAGGAAACAAAAAGAAAAATGTAAACAGATATAATACATAAAAACATATATATAAATTTAGAGCAGTCATGTCATCAAGTAAGAAAACAATACTAAGGCTGTTTTGTTATTCAATAGGGAAACCCTGGAAAGTAAGAGCATCTATTGCAAGTCACCTCTGGCCTGTTTGGAGTTTCACAGCCTTGGATGGATAGAAATATCGTTACACAATATTTTTTACTCAATAAACCACCTCTAGCATGCTGCCAAGAACAAAAGAGGTTTTCTTTTCGACTGTCACCATATGCATGGCCAATATACAGGCTGCAAAGTTAAAGCGTGAAGCATTAGACTGTAGACTGTAAACATATTCATGCTCAAGAGGACATCGAGATTGGTGCAAAACCAGGGACTCAATTCACTTGCTTTCCTTAGTTAGAGTTTTACCATCTGCCGTTGAATACAGCATTAGAATCTATTTATATGATTGGAAGCAAATGACCATAAAATTTTGTAAATGGAATGGATCTGTTCACTTTATAAAAAAGACATATTAGATTTTTTTTGAATTTCCGCAATATTATTACGATGAAATATAAAGTTTTGAACTAATGATGACACAGCAGCTATTACTCCTAAAACTGTTTCTGACTTTTTAGATGTACTTATTTATTAACCTTTTTATTAACCTGTTTATTTATATTCTACTTTGTTACTATTCCTATATGTCATATCTGGTAGTTACTTTTTTCCACTGTTGTTAATCAATGATAATTGTATAATAGAAGATATCAACAATTACATAATGCACAAATATCTAAAGCCTTAAGACTAAAGAATAAAGAATGAATGCGCCTTTAATCTGCTTCAGAAAACAACACAGCTTTCACTGCAACTGAGTCTTCCTGCAAGCTAAGGTAAATGCTTCTTAACTAATGTTTGTTCATTGTGTATCAACAGAAGACCTGTAGGATAAAAGCAAATTTGATCAGCAAAATGGGCTGGAACAATTTTTTAAGACGTTCTTCTATCACTACCACCACCTGAGTATCAAAAGCACAACCAGAGAAACATATTCTGATATAGATATCAAAAACAACTCATAAACAAACATCGATCTGGGGAAAGGTTTCTAACTTAAGGAATGAGGTCCTGAAAAAAAGACTCTCTAGTGCACTTTTTGGTCTAGGTGATCTTGCAAACAAAGCATGAAATCACATCAATTCACCTCAATGATCAGCTTCACTGCTTCTACCTGGCCAGCACTAATCAGCACCCTCCACCTCCAACCCCCTCTTGATCCAGACTGACCCAAGTTTGGAGGGGGCTTCATAGTGATAAAACACAACACCTCCCCCAACCCAACCCCATGTGCCAATGCGGATGAAGTTGTATTGATTGAGGCCAGCGTGAGGAAAAAGTTGGGGATTAGTCACACAGGCAAACAGATGCAAATAGAAAGCTATAAATTATATGTGACAGGAAAGCAATAGTTCCTTATTGCCTTGCACAAGCTTACGCCAGCATTAGATTCCTTTAATCTGAATGGCACTCTGGGATAAAGGGAGCTGTCACAATAATTTGTAAACTTTAAAACTATTTATCATGGATGCCATGGGAGCCACTTACGGGAGGTCTGCTGAGAGACGATTTTTTTTCTTTTTCTTTTTTCGCACCTTTGTCCTCTTTATCCCTGAAGATGAACAGTATGACACGAGTCATTTTATATACTGATATCAATTCAGGAGCCAAGAGGTTTTTGAGAAATTGACAATAAAATATCTTTTTTATTATTCTACAAATAAAACAACCTCTTGGAACTAAATTTGTCTAAAACAAAACCTTCCCAGAAAGCAAACATTGATATTTATTTATTTTTTTTACTCCCTCTTTTTTCTCCATTAGAATTATTCGACCCCTTGACTCGTCTACGTGACATAAATCTAACAGATTTTATGCTTTATCCGTGTTCTTCACATTGAATAAGCAATTTAGCAGAATAAATTAATGACCTGCTTGTTGCTAAAAATCCCCTAGAGATATATTAAAATTGCTTTACATTTGAATCAATAATATCGAGCACCACTGAAGACCTTTTTCTTTTTGCTACTTTTTTTTTGTTTTATGTCCGATAGAAAGTGTTGATTTTGGTTTCTCTGTGTGGTTACAGTGCTATCTCTGTTGCATTTAATAATGCATGCAAGAGAAAGGTGTTTAAATCGAGCATCCTCTTTTGTTAACAGTTCTGAGGTCAGACTATCCACCACTGGAATCCACTGAAGCACCAAACCAGAAAAGGGTCTGGCTCTAGATTTTATTTTTTTTTCTCCGCTTGTTAATTTAGTTTCTTGTTTAAAACAGTCGGTCCGAAAACTCATATAATATATTTGGTTATTTTGTTTTAGAACTCTTAACTTGGAATTAAACAGTTGAAAATATACACACACACACACACACAAAAAAAATCGTCCTTCTTGTCCTGCACAGGAATTTTCCATATTTGCTATGGGTAGAACTGGATTGCAGAACAAGAGAGAACAACAGTTAAAATTTTTTGATGAAGAAAAAAAAGGGGAAATAATCAGCGTTTAACCTAGAAATCTACTGTGATATTACGTATGAGAAATGGCTTTTATTCTAGGAGTCACTGTCTCAGAGGTTACCACAGTCACGCAGAACATATCTGTATATGAATATATCTGTCAATTCAGCTCCAAATAAGATTTCTCTTATATGCAGTCAATGAAAAAGTTAGAGCATAATGTAAACATTTTGTCTAATGACAATGAAGTGCACATTTCCAAGTAGCCATAGAGCACTAAATTAAAGGATTATTTCATAAACTTCTAAAAAAAAACTTGCTCAAAATCTAACATAGACTTTGATCAACACAAAATATATTATCTAGAAAAAAAAAAACAAAGAAATTTGTAAAATCTCTATTCAGTTTTTAACAATGTGCAGAAAACACAGCATGTTTTAGTTGTTTTCTAACCATTAAAGCTGTAAAAAAAAAACATTGAGAGAAATCCTAATACATAACAAATCACCATGGATTAGAGATTCTTTAAAGACAGTTAAGATTTTTGAAACCTGTTTATGAAATAACTGTTTATGAAATAAAAAATATCCCCCTGAAACATGTGAGGCAGGAGGAGTTTCCTCTGGGCGGTTTTCAAAAGAAAAACTGTTGAACTGATATTAGGCTGATAGAATTAGAGCTCTTTGTTTTCAAATTTTAATTTTCCAACATGAAAAAGACATGCAATCGCTCCTCTAATTCCATTTCCCATTCCAAAATAAACCCATCTTTACCTGGGATTGAAAAAAAAGAACTTATGAGGCTTTCTTGATTATATTAACATAGTTTGAATTTATCACATACATGTGTCTGAGGCTCCTTAAATGGGGCTTTTTAAGTAGCCACGAAGCATGAAATGAATTTTCTTCTGTCTTTTTTTCCCCCTTTCTCTCTTTTTTTTCTCTATTTAAAAGATGTCTTGTGTGGAGCTGTCCAGGCCCTCCAATCAGCTCATTAAAATGTAATGCTGATGCTGCCTCTATATGGAACAGTGCCTCTTAACCAAAGTTCATCACCACAGATCTCTGGTGGTGGCGGTAGGGAGAAGAGATGTGATCTAAGGGAAAGGTCCTGGGTTTGGGTATTTCCAAAACAAAAACATCCAAATTTTTTATTTTTATTTACACAAAATCCGATTTTTGAACACATCCAGAGCAAACTTTAATGCAGCACTCTCATCAATTGCATTGGCATACCAGAATTATTATTATTATTTTTAAACTTTTTGTTTTACAGGATGTTTAAAAGGTTAAGCAACATGACCAGCAGTCACTCTCTGCCTCTCTCTCTCTCTCCTTCTGTGCAGCCCTGCTGCACATTAGATGCGCTAAGAAAATTGGCCTTCTTTATAGCGCCACGGGATTCTGGTCACCGCATATTGATCGGTTTTCATCTCGACAGATTCACTGAGTCCTGAATGTACAACTGCTGATTGTTGAAGAGAAGGGGGCTGGTTAAGTTTCAAAGATTGAATTGCACCTCTGAGGACGTAGCACTTTGCGGAGGTATCTGCGCAAAGTTGCTCCAAACATATTCCTGCGCTGTCAGCCGCAGAGATATGGCTGATATAGAATATATATATAATTTATTTATTTATTATAATGTATTATAATTAATCAAATATCAAAATTTATTACATTTTGATTATTTTCGCATTTCTGAAGATATTAAAATAAAAGCAAAGTTTTATTTTATCTATCTACATTTTTATTCATTAATCAGTGAATACATAATTTCCTGATTAAAATGTTTTCGTCCTACCAGTGAGTAATTCACTTAAAAATTAACCACTTAAATAGAGACAAACACTTTACTTAACAAAAAAAAAAAAAAAACACACACACACACACATATATATATATATATATATATATATATATATATATATATATATATATATATATATATATATATATATATATATATATATATATATATATATATATATATATATATATATATATATATATATATATATATATATATATATATATATTTATTTATTTATTTATTTTTTTTTTTTAAGGAGAAACAAAGTTATTAATTAGTTTACCTTTTAAAGTTGGATAGTTTACCTGTTAATGGATGAAACGCTGGGAACAGTGTCGTTGTCGCAGATGCCCTCTGCCAGCAATCTGTCTCTGATTTCCCAGGCAAACATGGTGGGATTTTGTCTCTTGTAATCTGCAATTTTTTCCACCACTTTCGGAGTGGCCACTTTGGGTTTAGACCCACCAATCACCCCTGGTTTTATGCTTCCAGTCTCGTAGTATCTGTAGGAAATAAACCAAAAAAACTTTTTAAAACTTTTCCTGCACGTGTCAAATTTTAATTTGTTTCATGAAAAGTTAGTAGGCCATTTTTAAGTTTAAGTAATAGCACAAAATAAGTTTCCATGTCAGAAAACAGGTATAGTATAAAACAATTCGAAGCATGGAAAGTTTTGCGCGCAAAAATAAAGAATATCCGATTTAATAGGCTAATAAGTTCCCATCGTTCAAGTTACTTGAGATATGAAAGATCCAGGGGATAAGCCTGGATTTTAGGTTTGCTTTTTCTGCTGAAATCACTTCTCACCTCCCGAGGATCTTGCTGACACAGCCGTGGCTCACCCGAAGCTGCCTGGAGATGTCGCAGGGCCGGACGCCCTGATGCGCAAGCTCCACTATCCGCTGCCTCACCACGTCCGGGAGGGGTCTGCCGTTCACGAACACCCCACCAAGCTGGTTCACACCTCCGTGCCCTACGTGGGATACAACAGCAGCAAAAACACACAGACGTAACATTACATAAGGTCGCTATGAGAAATCAAGGAATGTGCAGCTAATGGAAATGGATTGATGAAAAATTCCTTTCTAACGAAAAAACAAAACTATGCAGGAAAAGTATGAACAAAGAATTGAAACATGAGAAACAGTGTTCACAGCAAAAAATGCCTTATGCAATTAATTAAATAAAATGTCTAATTTGAGGGGATCATGCACCAATTTTCAACTTTTAATTCTATCTATCTATCTATCTATCTATCTATCTATCTATCTATCTATCTATCTATCTATCTATCTATCTATCTATCTATCTATCTATCTATCTATCTATCTATCTATCTATCTATCTATCTATCTATCTATCTATCTATGAGAATTAGGAAACATTTTTAAAGAGTACACAAACTGCTTATTTTGAAATAGTTATTTTATGGATTACTTCTGTTGTAATAGGATAAAATTTACAATGACAATTTTTAGAACATATTTAATTTAAATAAAAAAAAAAAAAAATGTACGACTATAGGTTTATTTATTATGATTATTTTTTATGCGCCACATTGACCCGGTCTTAACGTACGTTGACATTTAGTAGCTACATTAATTGAGAAGTGATGAATAATTTAAAATGTGTAACATAACTTTAAATTCATCTGCACCTACTGGAATATTTTTTTTGCATATCCCTTTCAGGTCACGCATGAGTCCATGATTATATTTTTCTACAATTTAATTGTGATTACTCAGATTGCACACAATCTTGTAAACAAAGAAGTCATCAATTATGAACATGCACTCCTCAAATTAGGAATAAGCACCTTTTATGCGTGTTTAAGTCGAATGTAGCTCCACAGATAATTTAAATAATAGATGTGTAACTAATATGTCTTGACTTATTAGGTTTTTTTGTTGTATTTTTTCATGCGCATGCTGTGCGCGCGGAAAGATCCTGGCTGCTGCACGAGAAAAACCCAGAAAGCACCTGATGAAAACAGCATTTTTTTTATTTTCTAAGGGAAAATTGTATGTTTATTGCATTTTTATTTATTTCCTTTTTTAATTTATTCATCTATTATATTTCATTTCGCATAGATACAATGTAAGAGGCAAATTGAGAAAATTTTATAAGTTAATATCTTATATTTAAGTTGGAATTATCCGATTATACACACGTTTAGCCTTTGTTCTGTGTTTTTTTTTATTGCACTAAGATGTTGGTAGCCGTTTAAAAACTGCTGCACTTTGCTGCAGTGTAGGAACTAAACATTCCCTTCTCCATATATATATATATATTTATTTCTGTCCGTGCAAAATCAAACAGAATAATGAAATAAAAACCCTTGGGTTGTGCTACTTACGGTGCATCGCCGTGAAGGGGTCTGCTTTGCAGTGAATATCCATTGGATAGCAAAGGAAAGACAGATAATCAACTGAAGTCGCCGTTTCGCCTTCCTATCGTGGGGGTAATTGTGGAGAAGAAAAAGGTGATTCTAATCGATGGAGGGACTTATATTTTGGACCCCTCCAGCCCCGATCCAATGCCAACTTCTTCCCCCTTGAAGTTACCCCCTTTTTCTTTTTTTTTTCTTTAACAGTCCGGTCCGTCAGCTGGATGTTTTCTTGCAGGTGCGCGGCATGACCGAAGGAGCGCTTCTCAGAGCTGGAGGTAATTCTCACAGCATGCCAGCGAGCGAACCGGGTCCCCCTTTTTTCTCTCACAGGAATCCCTCAGTAAAGGGCCCCCGATATGTCCTCAGTCCTGGTGGTCTTGGTAAATAAAAAAAAAATTAAAAAACGCCGACTTCTCTCTTCTTTTCTTTCTTTTTTTTTTTTTTTGTTGCGATGGGGTGCGTGAGGCTGGATTTTAGGAGCTGAGAATGAAGCCTCTTCTCTCTGTCTGTGGTTCTAAAAGCTGCAACCCTCTCCTCCTCCTCCTCCTCCTCCTCCTCTTCACCCCCCCACCCCTGTGCAGACCCCCCTTTTTGCTTATATGGATGACTTGTCAGACAAAGGCAATAGATGCCAACACTTTGTGATTCGCCAGCACAAAAAAAGGGGCTCCAAATGAGGAGGTCTGTAGTTCACCGACAGGAAGGGGAGGGAAAATAGGGTCCGACTTGCAAACATGTTTATTGGACACCAGAAAGTTGTCCACTGTCTTACAGTACATTTTGAAATAAATATAATAAATATAACAAATTCATTAAGAAATCATTGTGGGCTAGTTTTTGGACCAAATGCACGGTAAAAGATATTAACTAACATAAAAAATAGTTTAGATAAAAATTCCTGCTTATTATAACCTAAATGTTTTCAGTTTTTCCCATCATTTATATATCTTTGCATTTCAACCCATGTGGGCCTTATAATTTGGGCTATTTTCTAAGCTTTTTTTTATTATTTAATATGATATCAAACATATGATCAGGTTAATACCAAATGTGTTGACTTTCATTGCAAACAGCTGATTGTGTGATGATTGTATCTACTGCTCCAAGGTGGAAGTTACTGTACACTTTGATGGTCCTAAATGAAGGTTCCTCTGCACTCATAACAACGCCCCTCACCCTCTGTAGATGGCGCTGCATAGTTTCTCAAACCTGAGGAAGGATGTAGTATGACACTTAATAAGTAAAGGTTTAGGATCCACTTAAGTGTCCTGCAAATTTAGAAGTTAAAAGAACACTTTTCAACAACAAATCATTAGATATATGTATGCATATATGTATGCAGTTTTTGAGTAATTATTTTTAAAGTGTATGGCATTATAATATTAATGATAATTATGATAAATAATATATATGTTATTAAGTTTTTTTTATGAAAGAGATAAAATGCAGTGATGGTCCTAAAATCAATTTAAACACAGATAATTGAAAAAAAATCGTCATACATGTGAATTTATCAATCTTGTAGTAATAGTAGTTAAAAACAAATACAATAAAGATACATTCAAAGGTATTTAGGCCTAATTAGTAAACGTGCCGACGACTAATTACTAAAATTAACTCATATATATAATCATTAATTGCTAAAATGCTTAGACATTGCTTAACTTTACAGTTATTTGACAACAGTGAAACAACACATTAAGAAATATGTTTTTTTTTTGAGTCAGCATCTGTAAAGAACAGGGAATAAAAAAAAAAAACACCTATAGCTAAATGCTCATAATAATATTAGAGCAACATTTCCTGCCACTTTGCTGATGCTAAAGTGCAGGATTGCAGCTGCTGCAGTTTTGTCACAGATTGTCACATCTTGGCAGTGGTTTATAAAAAAGGGTTACAATACATCCTTGCAGAGTAGATTAAAAATCTATTTCACCATAAAGCTTAATGGCTAAATATGTCTTACATATAATTGTTAGGAATAGGGAAAATAACAGATAAATGTGATGGGTGTAAGCAGGTTTGCTGAGTGAGTAGCCTACATTTTAAAAAGTACGGGAAACTTGCATAGTTTATGTATCTTTGACACTGTAAGCATCTGTTCTCTTAAGGCCAATATTACTGCACTCAAATCTGTTTTCTTAACAATGTTGAAAAAATTAGATTTTGCCACAGATATATTTTTTTACCAGTATTCTTAGTGGGTTTATATAATATTACTTGTTCATATTAGATTTTAATTGCAAAATCAATTCATAACAACATGAATTAGCTTGTGTTTGTTTAGGATGAGTGTATTTTAAAGTCAAACATGGTAATTGTTTCCAGTGTGTTTCTCCTATTTAACCAGCAAATGATTCTCTTTGGCTGTTGAATGTATCTAATTTATGTATTTTGCTTAATAATCACCCAAATAAATCTAATTCTATTAATTGATTATTGAGTTATTACAATAAACATGTTATTGATTCCCTTCTAATATTTTGTTTAATAATATGAACCTGTCACCCTATTTTGGGGGTTGGGATGGGGGGCATCTCTTTGGTGCAGACGGCCTCCTGGTCAGGTTAGAGGATGATTTCTCTTTTTGTTACTGTTTTTGGAGAGGGCTTCTGGTACAATATGTAGCACTATAGGCTGTAATTTCACACCCGGCTGCACATTTCCCTTAAAGCTACACCCCTCCACACACGCACCTCCTATAAGATCCCCCAACCCCATCGACACCCCCTTCTTCAGTTTTATACCCCCACTTCTCTCTCCTCCTGCTCCCCTAATGCACCACCCATCTAATGAAAAATATAATAAAAATCAAAATAAACAAGGAAGAAAAAAAATAGGGGATAAAATCCTAATTTTCTAAATTGATTTAATGCTTGTCTCGTGTTTAAACGCGCAATGTCGCAATGTGTCTTCCCTCTTTAATCTAAGGATGCAGGCCTCCTTTCATCATCTATGGAGATCAGATAGTTCATAACAGGGGCTATTCAGGAGAGTTTTGGCAGACAGATCGAAACTATTTTTCTCTAACTTTTAGGTTAATTTTAGGCAAAATCCGAAAAGAAAGAAAAATAAAGTTTGCGCAGAAAAAGCCTACCAATTTGTGCAAGAAGACCCATCCTCTGGCTCACAGCTGCAACGTTTAAGACGATGCCACCACATGTCAAGAGTTTGCAAAAATGTTTTCGGAGCCTGGCGTGCACCCATTAGGAGAGGTGTAATGTATTGACAGAGAGCAATTTATCTTTTGCCCCGCTTCCTAATGGCCTGTGCAGAGAGGAGAGGTGGCTTGGAGGAGGTGGAGGAGGAGGAGGAGAGGGAAGAAGGAGCATCGGTGGTCCAGCAGCTCCGCACATTATGGCGCAAATTCAGTAAGGAGGATGAAGGCTTTGGAGTGCTGGTGTCATATCTGTCCATATAAATGCCCCCTTTAAATACAGGTTGTATGATGGTGCGTTCAATGCGCGTTTCTTTGAGCTGACACCCTGGTTAAAGTTCTTTTGGCCTTAAACAAGATGCTCTATCAGTGGGTTAAAATGTAAGCATTCTGGGTGACGACCTTTAAATGAACACTTCTGTAAACAAAAATAAATCCCCAAAATATCAGTATCGCCTGCCCTTTTAATTGGACAACAACGCAAATCATATCTTATCTATCATCTAAAGAAAAAACAAAAAAACCCCAAAAAGGTTGCTACAGTGTGATTCCGTCTCACAAATCTTGCAGGAGTGAGCAGATGGAGCTTCACTTTGAAGGATTGATTTTTGCTCTGCTTTTAATTTTGTCTATAATTAATTGAATCATTGTGACTGATTTCCATTGACTCCCCGGTTAAAAGACAGAAGTGGAGCCTGAATTGCGCACTTTCGTTTATGGAATTACTTTTTCTTTTTTTGCTTTTTCTAATCATGAAATGACTGGCCATATATACGTATATATAAATATATATAAATACATATTTTCTTTCATTTATAGTGTTGATGCATTTTTTAAATTTATTTATTTTAGTATCGATGCATTTTCCCTGTACTGTAGCGCGTTGTTTCACATTGCTTTGTTTCATGTTCACTAGTGACAAGCATTTCTCCTGCAGGATGACAACTATCCCCTTAAAATCTGCATTAATCCGCGTCAGAAAGCTGAAAAAGAAAAATGCACGATTTTGACTGAAAATGCAATGGTAGTAATTTCAGGTCTACTGTTGCTGCTTTGCATAAGTTTGCAGCAGTCCAGATCAACCTTTTAATTGCAAATAATCAAAAAACTAACTACAGGCGTAAAAGTCAATGTGAGACTTTACAGCTGCCACGCAGGATCGTATACTTCAGGTGATAAACCCACAGTGGAAAGAACGTCCTGCTTTTCTCTCTGAATAAAATAGTATTTTAGGGGGGGAAAGCACCTCGCCTCCCAATCACTTTAAATCTACCACCTGCCTTCATGTTCGGCTTAACTCCAATTAAAACTCCTCAGATAACTGCTGAGTTTCAGCTGATGGTTGCACAACACTCAACACATAAACTCCCAGCGGTGGAGGGGATTTTACCTTATTTTAAGAGTCCGAATGCAAGTGAGTTTAAGCAATTTAAACATTTGAGTGAAAGATCCCCACCATAAATATTACCATCATTTTTAATGAGTCGTTTATATCGAAATAAAGGATCATTTTTTATGACTTTGTCTTTCATCTCCTAAAGTGATTTTATAAACTAAATTGGGAGATAAAGGAAGAGCTGATGTTCATTATGCAGATTTGGTAAGTACTGTTAAATATGTCCTGCGGGGTCGGATTTAAATAGGACGGTATCTTGTCATTCTTTTTTATAAAAAGTGTTGCATTTGTCGTACTGGGAACAAGGACTAAATCCCATTTCATCCCCATCGAAGTTTCCACATGAATAGTTAAATGTGTGCACCCTCTGGTTGCGACTTAAAGTGGAGACAGGGCATCAGGAGTTAAAGAAAACAAGATCTGTTTCTAAAAATAGAAAAAAAAATCTAGCCTATATTGTTGTAGTTATGCTATTAAAAATATAGTGTCACGTTCTTATACTTATATTTTAAGAACCAATACTTTTAAACTGTATATAAACTGGTACTTATTAAATTCTTTTTTTTTCATCAATATACCCAGTTTAAACATTTTCCCTAAGTCCTAAGAATAATCTTCACTGTTTGCAAGCAGCAGATCTGCACAAAGTGGATAAAGGAAGCGCACTATGAGCCAACCCTCCCTACAAGGCCCTGCGTTCATCACTGTGGGAGAAGCACAATCCTCCAGTGGATCACTCTTTCTCCGCGGATGTGTGACTGCGTGTGCGCCAGAGATCAGCCCGAGGCGGCTGAAGGAGCCCCGCCAGCTGCTTCTGCCCCAACCAGACAGCCAACAGCTTCCAATCACATGTCAGCAATATGGGAAACAGAGCTTCTGTCCAGTGGGCCGCTGACATGTGTTAGCCTTTGGCATGTG